CTCTCTCTCTCCCCCTTTCTTCCACCCTTTCAATCAATACGTTAATTATTACAATGTGCAAATGATCGAGCGACATCGGCTCGACAACTGATTGATTCTAATTACTCCGAAGAGTCGTAATCGGAATCTGCCGCCGCGTCGGATGTCTCTTGAACTTCCGGCGTAGCCTCAGGGATCTTCTTCGTCGAAATCGTTGCCGCGACATACGCACCCGGCCCTTCGCCCTGCGTATGTTCGATTCCCACTCTAAACAACGTTTGATAATATAACATCTGAGACCAGTGATTATAGTAAAAAATAAGTAAATAAAGAACTGGATAATTGGAGTGTCTATTTACAGAAACATCGTAGAGAATATATTAATTTTACTAGCCAAGTAATTTAACAGACGATACTTGCTATGTATAATTTCTAATAATTTATTATGTGATAATAACAGAATAATCTTTGTTAAACGCACCTGTATTCGTGGCGCGATAAATTTCGGACGTACTTTTCCGGGGGCGCATCACTGTCACTGTTTTGGAGACTAACGCTCCTTGCGGTCGTATGGGATACCTGCGTTGCCGGCATCGTGAACTCCACGTAACAGTATTCCGACAGATTTTCAGGGATTTGATCGTAGGAAGTGAGAGCCATACGGCAAACTAGTTGATGCGTCGTATACGCGCCTGGAAATAACCGAAATTGGACGAGAGCCAACAAGTCGTTTGGATCACGATTCGAACACGCGATATGTTTAATCCCACGTGATGTTTTTACCCTTAAGAGTGAAGCAAAGTTTAAATATTTTTATGTATCGTTAAGATACCCCGAATTCTATTTCTTGAATAAATAAAAGAAAATAAAGTGATGTGAAGTGATGTGAAGTGATTCTTTTAGAATTAATTTCGAAGTAACTATAATAATCGATAATTAGCTGTTGTACACACTGTTGTGCACACGCACACGCACACACTCTATATATATATATATATATATATATATTTATTAAATAAATATATAAGCTAAAGTGCGAGCAAATACCTTGTCCTTCTTTCGGCAGTCTGGGCATCCTCCATACGATAGCACGATGTTGATGCTCGTATTTCGCCTGGCCGGAAGTAACCTCCATCAGCTGCGGTTCCAACGTATCGACGGCACCCAAGAACCTTTCAATACCCTTAATCTTTCCTGTTCTTCTGTGCGCTGATTTTACCGAGCCATATCTAAAATGTTTCTCCACCCTAAAGAGGTAGATCCAGCACTCGGGTATAGGAAAGCGAACCATCACGTCTTCGCATGGTATTTGGCCCAATTTTCTAGATGCAAAACCGGGCACGAGAATGTCCGCTCTCAACTCCACCTAATGACATGTAAAAAGAGAAGAAAATTTTAATAAAAGTTTATATAAAGTTCAATGTAATACTTTTATAAAGTGACGATATTGTCAAAAATAACAAGTGAAAGAAAGAGACATTTATGGTTAAGTCGACAAGACGCTTTTAAGTATTAAACAAAATATAATTGTCAAAATTGTAGAAAAAGAAACTTGCCTTGTTTCCCGTGACGCACATAACGGCTTTTAATTGAAGCGGTAGTTCCCTATTTTTAGGCGGTCTTACGCGAAATCGCATCAACTCAATGTAACATGCATCAGGTGGCTTGAACCTTAGGAGATATATATGTTAGTGGGATGTTAGTTAAAAGATAAATTTATAGATTTAGAAATTATTAAAACATGCATATTTGTTAATCGAAAGACAAGCCGAGTTTTATTAGTTTCCCTCATCATAAAATTTCAATTATCGTGAAGAGATTTCGTTGTATCATTCTTACTGCAACTAATTGTGCTAATTGCAAGCAGAAGATCGTTAGAGAGATTGTTAGTTATTTGTCTGCGGTCGTAAATCGTATTTATCGGTTTTATTATCGGAAAGTGTGATATCCGTACGTACTTTATTATTCGTGATTTTTCATACTCGTCCTGTTGAACGCACGAATGGAACTCGACGTTCTCCAAACGAATCCATTCCTCTGTTACAACGGGAATGATATCGTGCCTACCGACAACCTCCTTACCCTGTCGCCACATATCATTTATCCCTAATTCTACATCGGGCATGCCTGTAAGCAAAAAGTAGAATTTGTTTTATGAGAAAGCACAAATTGTAAAAATATATTTTTTCCATTAAATTTTGATATGAGTAAATACGGATTGTTACATAACACATAATGTTCGCACTCTGATATACCTACCAGAAAGGAAACCCAGGAAGAAAAGACGAACACGTGCGATCTGCTTGTCTACGTGACCCTCCGCATTCTGCTCGACGTAAAGCTCATCTACAACCGTTATTTGGACCTCCTCCATTTTGTAATTTAGAGCTCGATCACGATGCGCCGGTAATCTAAAGAGAGCTTCCTCAATGGCGCAAGAAAATTGTTTCATGTCTTCGTAACATTGAGAACCAAGCTTGAATAGTTGAGAGATCTATAAATAATCAAGCGTTTAATAAAAATTAATATAAACCGACATATTGACAATTTTTACAGTTATATTATAACGAGCTCATTATTATACAACTTATACTTTAGAATTATTTTTTAATTCGCATTCCTCGAGTACCCTCCATCACGCATATCTTGTATTAAAAACTTAAATAATTACCTGAGGTGCGTGTTCAACAGGAAGACCCAATTTCTTCAAATCACTCCCAAACTCTTTGACACCTTGATAATCCCCTTGAATAGCATACGCTGCAAATTGACTGAGTTTGTTCGTGAGTCTTTCCGCTTTTGTGACCTGGCCAGGTCGCACGCCAGGTCTCTCCTTGTAGAAGATGTATTGCAGTTTCACCGTAAAGATTTTCCCATACTGATCGAATTGTTGGGCGCCGATGTCCGACACCGAGTAACAAGCGAGCAGAGGTAGTTCTTGAAATGGATCTTTGTCGTCTTTATTGTTAAACAGCTGAAGACTCGGATTGTCACCCTGGTAAACCAACTTGACGAAGATCTTTTTCCAGAAACGTTGCCCCGTAATCTTTTTCTTATTTGGCTGTCGCAACTGCATCTCCCAACCGTCCCCGGTATAAGTTATCCTCGGGAAATCTTCGAGCGGTTGGCTAACATCCTCATCGAACAAAGGAGTGGGCGGAGTTTCCTAAAAAGGGATATATATATATATATTTTTTTTATATATTCCCTTTATATATGTAGAACTAGATACATCGGTACATCGGTACATCGGTGCAACAACATTAAGTGTTACACCTTAAGCGTTACTTGTACATTTCTTTATTTACTCGTTACGTTCTTAATTAAACGACAAAAAGCAAAAACTGCGTGTAAAAATTGAATCTGGTTGGATGGTGAAAAGGGGCAAGTGATTTACGGCAGCATTCAGCCGTGGTGCAAATTAACGCAAATACCTGGGAATCTGTTCTAGCCATTTCAGTTGTCTGTGCGGTTTCGGATATCACGGCGTCCTGCGCGGTTCCGGATTTATCGAAGGGATTAAAACGCGGTGAGGAGTCCGCATACGCAGCGACCTGCGGACTTTTCGGCGGCGGTGCTAACGTAGGTACGGGTCCGCCTTCCGTTGTTGTCATCTGATCTCCTTCTTTCGGCCTAAAATAGATTGAGAATATTTTACATAATATATCTAATATTTACATGTGCACTAATTGTGCAACAATTTAGAGATGATTCTGCAAAAGTTGGTAATTTTTCAACAAGACTACCGAATAATTATGATCATTGGAAATAAAATCGATCTCAAAATTTTCTTTACCTCGAAAGACAAATTTTAATTATAGCAAAAATTAATGATTCTTTCAACTCACTTAATAAATACACTGAAATCGGGCCCTTCATCCGATTCCGCGGATTCGGATCTTTTTACTTTCGTATCCGATGGTGGAGCCGTCATACTTAAAAAGGAATCGAAACCGTCGGATTCTCCAAAACCGGTGATCGCCGTTTCCGAGCCAGCTGCCGACGAGTCTCCCCAAACTAAACCCCCCGTTATTACGTTATTATTATATTAACAAGTAGGCAGATAGTTAGGTATTGATGTAAAACTGCAAGTTATGCACGTTATTTATCCACTTACCGTCGCTGGAGGTGTCCATAGCCATTGGTCCGCCTCCGAATGCATCCAGAAAGGGATCTCCGCCGTTGGTTTCCGGTTCAGCAGCCCTATCAAACTTGGACGCAAAAGCGTCGAACGAGTCGCCAGTATCCTCGATCACCTTCGTCGTAATGGCAAAATTATCCAATTGTTTCTCGTTTCCTGGAAATTCCGTTCCGGGGATTGGACTGGTGGAAATCAGATCGCTGCTGGCTTCCTTGGTCGATTCTCCAAAATCACCTAGCAGGTCCGAGGCAAAGACATCTTGAACGGGCTGCGTGATTTTTGGCGACGCAAACAAAGGCTGCTGAGCGCTCGCCGCAAAAGGCGCGGTTTCGACCACACCGAAAGGCGTAGTCGTCGTGGTCGTATCGGTCATAGAGAAAAAGTTTGCGTCAGCTCCAGACCTGGAGACCTGTTCTGCTTCTATAAAAAGGTGAGCATAGAATTAAAGTAATATAAGTTGCAATAACACTTGCAATAAAAATTATATAACCTTACTACAGTACTCTAGTAAGTAGTATAGTTAATTGCTATTATTATTTTTTGTTTACTTTATTTCTATTCGCAAAAGAATAAAAAGCAATGTTTTAATCAACCTTGGAAGAGTTCAGCGGCTGCAGGTTGAGTCGCGGACGCAGGTTCCGCAAGATCTAAAACAGTGCCGGATTTTGCGACTTCCGTTTCTGTGACCGTGAAAGGAGTCGCCGAAGTCATCGAAGGTCGTTTCTCGTCGTTACTTCCGACAATATCTTCCATTCCAAAGGTTGCAGGTTGCGCTTGCGATACGATTGCATCTTCGCTCATGTTCGCGAAGGGATTATCCTGCCTGGCGGTAGTAGTCAATGGGACTCCGGTAACGAGACTGCTGGTACTCGTGGTAGTCATGGAAGTAGAGAAGATATCGGTCGCGGAAATATCAGTATTGGGCGCGTCAAAGAGATCCATGATGTCCCGATTTTTCGACGGTTCGACGACCTTGTCGTCCGGGATCAAATCCGGAACATTACTGTCGACGTCCAGAAGATCGGCAAAACTGTGCTCCGGAGTGGGTGATGGGGAATGCATCAGCGTAGGACTGGGCGTCCTGGTTGCCTGCAAGCGATCCAAAAGATGGTTCGAGGTAGCGTCCATTGCTCCGGTAACTGACAGTATCAGGTCCTTCGTATTCTTGGCGGGCGGTTGCATCGGTGGTGGCGGTACCGGTGGTTGTGGTCTCGGCGGAGGTGGCCTCGACGGTGGTGGCTTTCCATTCTTCGACGGTGGCGTCGTTACCGGAGGTTGCTGCGACGGACTAACGATTGTCACCGGTTGTTCCTCGGTTGTCGATGTTGCCGTTGTTGTTATCGTACCGAATAGATCCACGCTCGCATTATCGGATGTGACGAAGATGTTGGATGACTGGCTAGTGAAGACGTTGGTTGCTGGCGTATTAGTGTCGACAGTCGCCCCGAATTCTGTATCCGAAGCGGTACTTTCAATGCCGAAAGAGGCGAACGGATTGGTAGAATCGACGGACATTGACGGTTCATACGTCTGGTCGCCGCCGAAGTTCAAGAAAGGATTTTCACCCGTGCCGGCAGTTGCCGTGTCGGTGAAATCCTGGAGGAAGGGATTAGAAGCCTGCGAGGGCAAACCGCCCTCCGGTTCCGTCGCGTAATCGTCCATTAAGAATGGATTTCCGCCCTTGGAATCCATGGTAATTGAATTGAAATCTAAAAACTCTCAAATATTAACCGTAACGATCGTTGAGGCTTGAACGAAATCTCTTGAATCGTACTGCCATCAATATAGGATAAAGAAATCTTAGTGTTTGTTTTGTATCTTGAGTAAATATTCTTTGATAAAATAGTTTATAATTCGTTAAACAAAATAAACATTTTTGGACATCTTCGGCTTGTAGATCATTAGCGATGTATAAAACAAGTAAAGTCGTTCAAATAATCCTTTGTGAAATTTCTCAAGAGAAAGAGAGAGAGAGAGAGAGAGAGGAGGGGGAGGGGGGAGGAGGAGGAG